TGTCCAATCATTTTCAGTTCCTAGTATGTGCTACTTTGCCCAACTGTTTTGAGGGATCTTAAGTCTTGTTTTCTTTAAGCAAAATTTGTTAATTTTTTTTATTAAAGAAAAAAGCTCATGAATAAGAGCAGAGGGACCACAGGACTAGGGCAGGACAAATGTTCTGATTTTTAAGAAGAGGGAAAAATGAAGGGTAATGAACTTGACCTTGATTTCACCAGCATTCTGGGACATGTTATTAAAGGGATGGCTTTAAACCAGAGACCATATTATTAAGGTCTATGAACACCGAGAAAAGGTGATTGCTATGGATCAGGGTCAGCGTGGCTCCATCAACAGCAGGATATGCCCAATCAACCTCATTTACTTTTAATTACAGAGATACTGGCCTGGTGGGCCAGAGGAATGGGGCACGCACCCTGGTACCATTTGTTAGAATCTCTCCTGCCATCCTTGTTGGCAAGATAGTGGGTAAGGAGAGAGGACAATTAGGCACATTCAGAGCTGGTTCAATGGCCAGACCCAAAGCGTGGTCATTAGTGTTGGTTGACTTGAAGAAGTCTCCAGTGGAGCATCCGAGGGATCTATCCCCATCACCGTGGTTTTGTTCAGTCATGTGAGTCTCTTGGTGACCCTATTGGGGATTTTCTTGGCAAAGATCCTGGAGTGGTTTACCATTTCCTTCTCCAGCTCATTTTTACAAATGAGGAAACCGAGGCAAATAGGGTAAAGTGACTTGCCCAGAGTCACACAGCTACTAAGTGTCTGAGGGTGGATTTGAACTCAGGAAGATGAGTTTTTCTGAGTCCATGCCCAGGCTCTAGTCACCGAGCTACCTCAAAGCCTTCTTCAACCCAGTACTATTTAGCATTTTTATCTATGATCTGGCATGTTTATCAGATCTACAGGTGACAGAGAGCTGGGAGAGAGAGGCAGAAAGAAATGGAAGGGCCAAGATGTTGAAATGAGGCTAACAAAATGAGATGTAAGAGAAACGTCAAGGTCTTCAAGTGAGTTCAAGAAAATCAGTTATATGATAACTAGGTGTAGCTACACATGGATTGTATCTGTGAAGAAGATCTGGGAGTCTGAGTGGACTGCCAGCTCCATATGAGAATGCTAGGAAAGGCAAAAGAGAAAGTGCATTTTAGCTTGCACTGAGAGGCAAGGCATCCGTGGATAAGGAGGTGGTGATCTGACTCCACACTGCCCTGGGCTGAGGACATCTGGCTCACTAGTGGGCGCCACATTTTAAGGATAACAATACACTCTAGAGCAGCTAGGTGATGCCCTGGATGGAGTACTGGACCTGGAGTCAGGAAGACCTGAGTTCGAATCCTGCCACAGACACTTACTAGCTCTGTGACCCAGGGCAAGTCTTTAAGCTCTGTCTGAGGAGCAAAGTGGCTTTTGGTATCTCTTACCATTCTGAGATTTGGGGACTAATTTCCTTCTTGCCTGGCCTGGAGCTAAGCCAGCCAGTGAGAGAGGGAGATGGGGGAGGGAGAGGCTAAAGCCAGATCCTGGGGCTCCTCATGAATTACGCTGCTGGAAACTTTTCGATTTGCTTGGGAGAACTTGGTGAGAGGCAGGGGAGAACCATGTAGAACTGGGGGGTCACAGGATCATAAGCGAACTCCAAGGCCCCTTAGAGGCCATCCAGTCTAACTCCCTCATTTTACAGAAAAGGAAACTGAGGCCCAGGAAGGGGAAGTGGCCTGTCTATGCCCACATGGGCATATGCATGTGAGTCTGCATGCTTGACACTGGGTGAGGTTTGGGGCCCGTCTGAGCCTGTAGTTACATGCTCTTATCTGGGGCATCTCCTGGGGACACCAGGCCTTTCAGTCTTATCTCGGGCAGATGTTTATAGGAGAATGAGATTTACAAGGTGTTTGGAAGAAGCGGATGGGAGAAGGATGGTGAGGGAGGGGGGGCTCTGAGTCCTGTGTGTCCTGACCACAAGCCCTCCCATGGGGTGGCGAGAGAAGTGGATGTGGACCTGTATGCATGTGTGCAACATGGATAGGACTGACTATAAGATCAGAGATTTAGAGGTGAAAGGAGCTTTGGGAAATGTCGGAGCTGGGAGAGGCCTTAGTATAGCAAATGTCTCTAGAACAGAGAATGTCAGGGCTGGGAGGGAGCTTAGAACAGGAGATGTCAGGGTTAAGAGGGACCTTAGAACAGAGAATGTCTTTAGAATAGGGAATGTCAGGCCTGGGAGGCGCCTTAGAACGTGGAATGTCAGGGCTGGAGGGAGCTTAGAACATGGAATGTCAGAGCAGGGAGGGCCCTTAGAATATGGAATGTCAGCAGGGAGGGACATTAGAACATGGAGTGTCAGAGCAAGGAGGGCCCTTAGAACATGGAATGTCAGAGCAGGGAGGGCCCTTAGAACATGGAATGTCAGCAGGGAGGGACATTAGGTACCATAGTCCAGCTTCCTCATTTGACAGGTGAGAAAGCTGAGGCCCACTGAGGGGAATGATTGCCTTGCCTTCCCAGGTACATCATGGGCTGGGCAGCTCTCTGCCTCAGAAAGTTATGGGGGTGGCTGGGTGGTGCAGTGGATAGAGCACCAGCCCTGGAGTCAGGAGGACCTGAGTTCAAATCCGGCCTCAGACACATAACACTTACTAGCTGTGTGACCCTGGACAAGTCACTTAACCCCATTGCCTAGCCAAAAAAAACCAGTTATGAGACAAACAGGGAAGGGGGCATACCTCACTCTCTTTCACACCTGACCGTGTAAGGGATGTGGAGGTACAATGAAAACACTAGGGCCTTAGAGTAAATGGATCTGGGTTTGAATCCTGCCCATATGGTGGCCTTCGAGGCTCCTTTCAGTTCCTGGAGTGGGAAGGTTCTTGGACCTCCAAGGGGCTGATCCAGTCAGCTGCTGAGCTAAGATCCTCTAGTTGGGGGAGCAAACTCTCGGCACCCCCCAGGACCCTGGCGCCCACCACGACTGGACATGTGTCTGCCTGGGCACCAGGAGGTTCTAGAAGCTAGAACTCAGGGTTCTGGCCCAGCTGCACAGGAGAGGGAGACTGGGAAAGTTCCTTCTCCCTTGGGAAGTTCCCCATCAGCTTGTCTGGGAACTCCCTGAGGTGTGCGGCCATTAGCAGATGGATTCTTGTCCTGCCAGGCTATGCAATGGGCTTCTCGGAAGTCCAACCCAGACCCCTCTGTGAGGCTCCTCTGTGACCTTGGTTAAGTCTCTTCCCTCCCTGGGCCTCAGTTTCCTCCTCTGTAAAATGAGGGGGTCAGACTAAAGGACCTCCAAAGTGCCTTCTAGCACTAAGTCTGGGATCCTATCATCTCCCATTTCACAGATGAGGATATAAAGGCCCATGAAGGAGGAGGTGAGATGGCCTAAGTCTGTGCAGCTAATGAGTGCTTGAGCTGAGACTGGAAAGTAGGCCTGTTCAATCATAGCTCAGGGTTATTTCCTGTTAGGTTAAGAAATAGACTCAACATTCTGGCCTGGAGATCGGAACCCCATGTGGGCCTCAGTTTCCCCATATGTCAATGGGGGAGGAGGTGAAGGCCATGACCTCTCCATTTCCTTCCAGCTCTGGCATCCTTTGACTCTAAGAAGGAGCCTGCTTTGTTTATCCAGTTAGCCAACTTGATCAGCCACCCTCCCAGAGGGAGTTGTAAAGAGAGCTGTTGCCTCTGAAACCCGAAGGTCTGGATTCGGACGGTTACACCCATTCTACGAAGACCTTGGCTTTCCTTTTCCATTCGGATTCAGCCAAAGGGCCACACTTGAGGACCTAGGGGGCCACATGTGGCCTGGAGACCCAGGTTCCTCACCCCTGTCAAGGTGATTAGAAACTCCTCCCTCCTAAGGTTTTTGTCTGATTCTTCCCAGTAACATACTTGCTTATTAAAGGCCTTTAATGCCTTTTCCAAAAAGACTGGGGAGGGGTGGGGGGGCTTTAAATCCAGGCCAATGAAGAAGGGTCTAGGGACACAGAGTTCTGTCATCAACCAATACATAACCGCCCAGGCCTGGCCCAACCAGGGCCAAACATCTGCTCCAAGGCTAGCCTGCCCACGGAAATGGGCTGATTTCATTTTCCCCCCCTCCTTTTTTAATGAGAAAAAGAAAAAAAAACTCCACAAAGCTGACGGGTCCCTCTCCTCCCTCAAGGACACTGGGAACCGTCCATCTTGAGTGTTTACAGCCTTCCCTGAGCAGGAACGGTTACATAAGGCCAGATGTTTATGCAATTGGCCCTGGTCCAGGTTGGAGTCCGCCCCCTCCCCACCCCCATCCCATCAGCTGGCTTTCTTCTGTGTCTTCTCTGCCCTCCCCCCATCTAGACCCTCTCAGCTTGGCCTTCCTTAGCTCGAAGACAGGGGTGGAGAGGTCAGCATGTTTGGTGGGTCACACGCCACACCTCCTTTCCTTCCTTCTCCTCTCTCTGTACCCCTACCTGGGAGGAGAAGAAACCAGACTTTTTTCTGGCCCTAGGGAAAGGCTTGGAACTGGCCATGGCAGAATCTCAGAATTGGAAATATAATATAGGTTCACAGATGCTGATCCGGCCCACCCTCTTCATGTTACAGAGTAGAAAAATGAGGCCCAGAGAGGGAGGTTAAGTCACACGCAGGGAGTAAACACAGCAGGATTTGAACCTAGGTCTTCTGACCCAACAACCTTTCCCCTGTGCACTGCTTTACTACAGCAGAAGCATTAGATTTGGGGCTGAAAGGGGCCTTGGAAATCACCTCCCCAACCCTCTCATTTTATGGATGAGGAAATGGCAGCTCACAGAACTTCAGTGACTCCTTGCCAGGTCACACAGGTAGGTAGTAAATAAGCTGATTTGGGATTGGAGCCCAAGGCCTCTGACTCCAGTTCTGGGTACCTGGCATCTAGTCTGGCGTAGAAGGGGCCCAGGTACCCCCTACTTGTCCTCCTACCTGTTAAAGCTCTGATATCTCCAACCCCTCCCTGTTCCATCCCCCATCCTTCCCAAGCCTACCCTTTGCCACTTGAGAACCCCCAGGGAAATCAGGAACGGGTTGAAGAGCGTCGGCTGGTCTCCGGGCATGCGCCATGAAGTCACCAGTCGGCCCTTGGTGGGGCTCACGGCCTTTTCCTTCCTTTGGACGTTGTCTGCCTGTCAAACAGGATCAAGCTGGTCCAAAGGTGTCTCCGCTGTGGGGCAGGGGCAGGGTAGGCCCTCAGCCCAAACTGGGGATTAAGGGAAATTTCCTTTTCTCAGTCCTTTCCCTGGCCCCTAGCCACTCCCACAAATGCTCAGGACCCTCAGGGGCTTCCTCTCAGTCCACTCAAGCAAATGGAAACTTGCTCTGAGAGGTGCTGGTGAAGCAGAGCACAGTGGATAGAGAATTGGCCTCGAAGTCAGGAAGACCTGACTTCAGGTTCTGACTCTGCCCCATATGGGCTGTGTTACCCTGGCCTAATCCCTCGGTGCTCACTTCTCCGGGGTGTAAGCCTCTGAATTGAAGTAAGAGTGGCAATTTGCAATGGTAGAGTTCCCTTTCCTGGGAGTTTCCTTTAATCCATGAAATCCCAAATCTAGCCCCTATCTCTGTGAATGGTGGAGACCATAGAAGGGCTAAGGCTTAATTAAGCCAAATGACTAAATCTGAATCTCTGGCAGTGGAATTTCAGGCATCAGCAAATGGGTAGGACATATTGGGGAGGGGGGGCAGGGAAGTGATCGCATGGAGTCACAGATCTATAGGACAGTCAGGCTGGATTCTGGGAGAGGAATGGAGGGGCCTCTTGGTGTGGTAGCCAGGGGGTATCTGGAAATGACTGCTGTGGCTCAGTGGTTAGAGGCAGCTCTGGGCTTGCAATCAGGAAGTCCTGAGGTCAATCAATAAACATTTATTAAGCACCTACTATGTGCCAGGCATTGTGGTAATTGCCCTTGGAGGTCCTAGAACTATCTTGTACTAATAGTCTTAGGTGGGCTAGATGTAGGAGTTCCCAAGTTGGTAAAATCACAGATCTCTCTCTCTGTCTCTCTCTCTCTGTCTCTCTCTCTCTCTGTCTCTCTCTCCCTCCCTCCCTCTCTCTCTCTCTGTTCTTGTCTGTCCGTCTCTCTGTCTCTCCTAAAGGCTGGGGCTCCCCATCTCACCCCAGCTGGAGTTGCAGAGGCTCCTCTCCGCCCTGGTCCTCTCATCGGCACAGACGCCTTGGCAGCTTCACTCCTCCAAGGGCAAGCTGGCCCCCTCCCGCCACCCTCAACACATCGGTGCCAGATGTGGGGTGGACCTCCTGCCACCTGGGTCTGCTGAGGTTGAGAACTCTCCAGCTTGGGAGAGCCAGCCTCAGTCTCCCTGAGTGGCAGCGGGGGCTTCAGGTGTGCCATCATAACCGCTATTCCCTTAATCTGCACACCTTCCAGGATGTTAGGAGCAGAGGGGGCCCTTTGTGAACACTAAGGTGCTGTTGCTTTATAAATATTCTCTCATTTGAGCCTTATAAGAGCCCTAGGAGGGAAGAGCTGCTGTTATTCCCATTTCACAGACCAGGAAACTGAGGCAAAAGGCGATCTTATGAGTGACTTGCCCAGGGTCACACAGCTAGTGGATTTGAACTTAGGTCTTCCCGACTGTAAGCCTGGAGCTCTACCCACTCTAAGACGCAGTGGAGGGAAGGGTGATGTTGTTTCCCTTCCATCCACCACATGCTAGAGTGGATAGAGTGGTGACATTGTTTCCCTTTGAGAGGAGTCCTTTGTAGCGAGGACCAGCAGGGCTCTCTTTTGGCAAAGGGTGGGAAGGAAGGAGAGGACTCCCTCTGTCCCTCTGATGCTGTTTTTCCTCTGTTTCAGCCTCTCCCCAGCCCATCTCTGACCCCACAGAGCCTGATTCTGCTGCATAGTGTGCTCAGCCCTTACTGGGCTCTTGCACTGGGGCCTAGGCCCCAGAAAGTGTGAAGCAATAATCATCAAGGACAAAAGAGGATGTTGGGCAGTCCAGGGTAGCAGGATGGAGTGAGAAGCAAAGAAAGTGAGAGCTGGGGGGAAGAATGTTAGGATGAAGAACATCACCACTGGGGCTGGGGAGAGTGGTGGGAGGGAGGCCTTAGAACAGGGGACGTCAGAGCTGAGAGGGCCCTTAGAACAGGGGATGTCGGTCCTAGAAGGGAGCTTAGAACAGGGGATGTCAGAGCTGGGAGGGCCCTTAGAACAGGGAATGTCAATCCTAGAAGGGAGCTTACAGCAAGAAATGTCAGACCTGGGAGGGCCCTCAGGGACCAACTCACTCAAGACACTCACTTTACAGGATGGGGAGATGAAAGGTTGTCCCCAAGGTCCCGCCCAGCTAGTTCTGGAGCCAAGCTGGGGTTGTCCCCTTCCCAGTCCAGTCCTGCTCAGTCCTCGCAATGCAGGTGGTCCCAGCAGGAAGGTTGGGGAGCACTTGTGCATCTCCAACCCTCAGTGAGCTCAAGAAACCTAACAGACCCTCTGAGACTGTAAGCTCCATGAGGGCAGAGAATGGGGTCTTGCCTCAGCTTTGAAGCCCTTCTCTCCCCCGGTGCTGTGTTCTGCACACGTGTAAACAAGTGGTTCACAAGAACTGAAGGGGCCCAGATCTCCAGGTAGAGGGAACCTTAGAGAGTTGTCTGATCCAGGCCTCTCATTTGACAGAGGAGGAAACTGAGGCTCCTAGCAGGGGAGTGAGCTGTCCAATGTCACACCAGGAGTATGTAGCTGAGCTGGGCTTGGAAAACAGGTCCATTGTTTGATCTCAAACCTGGTGTCCTGTACACAATAGTCCCCTACCTCTCTGTAGGATCTGGTGACGTCATGGCCTAGGTGGGGCTGACCTCCTCACCCCATCCATCCAGACCAGGAGTCCTTAACCTTTTGGGCAACAAGGATCCCTTGGGTAGTGTCTGCTGAAGCCTATGGACCCCTTCTCAGAATTGTGGTTTTACCTGTACAAAATACTCAGGAATTCAAAGGAAATAATTATATTGAGAATTATTAAAATATTTTTTTAAGTCGTGGGGCCCTGAGTAAGGACCTCATTCGGAAGGACCTGGTCCTAGCTCCAGCCTATGCCTCTTTTCTGCGGCCCTCCCCCAGCCAGGGCCCCAACTACCGTGGAGGCCTTCTCCTGCTCAGTCATTAAGGACGTCTCTTGGCCCATGACGACTCCTGGATGTCCAGGCTCAGGGAGGGTGCCGCCATCTGGTTCGGGCTACGTGAGGAGAGAAAACCAGTCTCAGGCCAGGGATTTCATACCATTCCCCCCAGCCCTGCTGGGCAGGGGCAAAAACCATCATGGCTGATCCATCCATTGGTAACTCTTACTTACTTCCCTCGAGTTTTTAGTCTATGCCTTCAAAACTCAGTTTCCCTCTCTGTTGAATGACAAGGTTGCATTAGATGACCTTTCTGTTCTAACTCAGTGAACCTGTGATCCTCGCTTTTCTCATCAGTAAAATGGGCCTAAGACCTACTCTCTCTCTCTCTCTCTCTCTGTCTCTCTTTCTCTCTGTCTCTCTCTTTCCCTCCTCTTCTCCTCATATCTCTCTGTCTGTCTGTCTCTGTCTGTCTCTGTCTCTCTCTGTCTGTCTGTCTCTCTCTCTCTCTCTCTCTGTCTCTGTCTCTCTCTCTCTCTCTCTCTCTCTCTCTCACACACACACACACACACACACACACACACACACATTTGCTCATCCCTTCTGAGACTAATCCATCTTGGGCCCCAGTAGGTTCGAGGTAAGAAAACTCTTCCTAACCATGGCAGCTGTGGAATGGCCTGCCTTGGGCTCACCGTAGCTGGAGGATTATGAGCAGAGCCCTAAAAGTTGTTTGCTAGCAATGTCTTAGAGAACATTCCTTTATTTCCCTAGGCGCTCTTGCCTGACGTGCTAACAAAATCTGAAGGCAGCCATATTTCAAAGGATCATAGACTCGATGCTGGAGGGGGTCCTGGTGGTCATTGAATCCTGTGTAACAGGCAAAAGACCACCACTACATCTCTGATAAGTGGTCTATCCAGCCTTCACTTGAAAACCTCCAGTGATGGGCAGCTCACTACCTCGTGAGGAAACCCATTCCTTTCGGGGATGGCTCTGATTGTTGTTTTTTCTAAAATCCAGTCACAATCCTAGTTTCTACAATTCTGCCCTCCCTCTTGCCCTCTGGAGGACAAACAGAACCAAACTACACCCTGGCCCACAGAACAGTCCTTCAAATACTTTAACACTGTGCTGATGTCTCCGCCTTTCTCCAGGTTACACATTCCCTTTATCCTCTTGTGGGTTGACCTTCCCTATCAGGGTATCTACTCATAGCTCCCTTTGAAGCAGCATCCACTTACTGCCTGGGCTCCTCCTGACCACTCCCTCCCCTCCCACTCCCAGTAATGATCGCCCTCTCCAAATTACTCATAATAAACTTCACCTTTCCTCACTCACACATGTTGTATGTCCCTAGCAGAACATAGCTCCTCAAAGGGGGTGGAAGGACGGCTTCCTTTGGGTCTATGTCCCCAGTATCTAGCACACAGTAAGCACGTAATAAATGTTTCTTGGGAAAATGAACCCTGTGTAATTATGATGAAGGGGCTGAGAAAATGCAGCCTTCTTTGTCAAGGTGGGAGCCTATGGGTGTGGAACACTGGGCACATTCAGACTGGGCTGGGCTGGGCTGTTAGTTTTGCTGAATTGTGTTTTGCAGTCTTTATTCCAAGAGATGGCTCCAGGGAGGGGGAGGGGGAGGGATCAATTGGAAAAGAAAGGGAAAGGAGCAAACATTTATTAGCACATGCTCTGTGCGCCAGGTGCTGTGCTAAGCACTTCACAAATATTATCTCATCGGATCCTCACAACAACCCTGGGAGGTAGGTGCCCCTCATCGGATCCTCACAACAACCCTGGGAGGTAGGTGCCCTTCTTATCCCTATTTTGTAGTTGAGGAAACTGAGGCAGATGAGTTAAGTGACTTGCCCAGGGTCAAACAACTAATAGGCTAGTAGTCTGAGGCTGGTCCACTGCGCCACCTAGTGGCCAGCAAATTAAGGGGATGTAAAAAACAAAAGCTATCCGTTATAAATTTTACACATTTAAAAACACATTTTTTGTTGAGTTTAAGGAAACCAAAGTGTCATAGGTATGTTAATTGGGCCCCGGGGAGGGAAGGAGGATGGTGTGTTGAGATCATAAGCTTATAGTGTCCAGAGAGGGAAACTGAGGAAAGGGATGGGATAGTGACTTACTCTAGGCCACCCATTAAATTATTACTCTTGTAGGCATGACCTACGAGTTCTAGAGCTAGAATTCCTAGTTTTAAGAACCACTGGGTGGGAGATGGGTTCAGATGCAGGGGCTGGCACATAGCTCCTACCCTGATGTTCTCAGGCTTACCTCCTCAGATGGGTGGGGGCCAAGTGGTAGGTTGTTGGCCATCTTGTCCTCTTCCTCCTGCGGACCAGCTGCCTCCATGGCCCTGTGACAGCTCTCCAGTTTTGTCTTTGGCCACGGGGCTGAGCTGATTGGCTGTCCCAGGTCAGCCCCATTTTCCTCCACTGAAGGAATCAGGCTCAGTAGGCGCTCCCCAAGACTGTACCCATTCATTTCTGCCTGTCTGTCATGGATGACCAGCCCTGCGGGCTCTGAGGCGCTCTGCCATTCACGCTCTGGGGCCTCCTCGGTGCCCTTGGGGGGTCTGGCCTCCCCATTCTCCAGCCAGGATCCCTCGGTAAACATGGGCTCCCCCCTGGCTCCCCAGTCAATTTCTCCGCATGAGTCCGGGCTCCTAGGTCGGAGCAGCTCCCCTAGGCTCCTCCAGTCAGTCCCCGCAGGCTCGGGGCCATGACGATGAGGAAGCTCTCCCAGGTCCCTCCAGTCCATGTCCAAGGGTCTCTCGGGCCTCCGAGGGAGGGCCGACTCCCCCAGGCCTCCCCAGTCCATCTCATCTGCTCTTTCCAGCTTCCTAGAATGGGGGAGCTCTCCTAGGCTTCCCCAGGACACCTTGGCAGGCCTCTCTGGAACAGGGGGCAGGCTGAGCTCCCCCAGGCCATTACAATCCCACTCAGACCTCCCGGGCTGGGACAGTCCACCCCAGTCTAGCAGCTGTCCACTCTGGCGGAGCCTCTCCAGTCGCCTACAGCACACTTGCTCGGCTAGAGCCCGCCAGCAGCCCACAATCTCTTTGGTGGGCCCTCTCCATTCACTGTCCGGATATATGTCCAGAGCCCTGGTGCAGGAATGCCCTTCCCGACCTCTGAAGTCCCTCTCCATCCCGTCCTCTGAATAGGCCTGGCCCGGGCCACCCCAGTCCCTCTCCAGGTGTCTCTTGGGAGACCTGGGGTTGGAGGATTCCTCTGGCAGCCCCCACTCCTCATCCATTGACTTCCCTAAGTGTCTAAGGCCCAGAGGCTGCCTCTGCCTTTGTCGGTCATTCTCAGGGGGCATGTCTAGGCTCTTGGAGTGCAGGAGCTGCCCCCGGGCTCTGCATTCCCTCTCTGGGAGTTTGACCAGATTCTTGGGGGGTACAGAGCCCCCCTTGCTCTGCCGGTCTCCCGCAGGGTGTCTCTCTGGGTTCTTGGTGTGAGCTGGCTCCACTCGGCCCCTGCAGGCCTGTTCTGAAGGCTGGGGGGGCTTCTTGGTCACCTGAGGATGGGGCGAAAGGGCAGGTGAGACGTGGGTAGCACAGGCAAAGACAAATGGCCCTTCTCCAGGCTGAGGACTCAGAGACTGGCATCTTGGCAAGGCAAGGGATACAAGGAAGCTACCACTCAGCCGGGTTACCCATACTGGCCCAAATCCTTCCTGGGAGTGGCTGGCTGAGTCTAGAGAGCGGTTCTTAACTTGAGCTCTGTAACCTCGTTTAAAAAAATTTTTTTTATAACTGCATTTCAGTATAACTGGTTTCCTTTGCGATCTTATATATTTTATGCATTTAAAGATATGATTCTTTTTTTTTGTAGGCAATTGGGGTCAAGTGACTTGCCTAGGGTCACACAGATAGTAAGTGTCAAGTGTTTGGTCTGAGGCCAGATTTGAACTCAGGTCCTCCTGACTTCAGGGCCGGTGCTCTATCCCTGCACCATCTATCTAGCTGCCCCTAAAGACATGATTCTAAGAAAGGGTCTGTAGGCTTCACCAGACTGCCCAAGGGGTCCATCTCAGGGGGCAAAAAAAGATTAAGAACCCCTGGTCTAAAGAGAAGCCTTGGCTGTAGCCCTATAAGGTGCAGGACACAGGCTGTCAGAGGACCTGGGTTCAAATTCTGATTTCACTCTTTAAAAGCCATGTGACCTCAGGCAGAGGGATGGGATCAGCCCTTGAGGTCGGAGAGACCCAGGTTCAAATTCTACCTCACCTACTTACTAGTCAGGTGATCCTAGACAAGTGACTTTATCCATTTGATCCTCAGTGTCCTCATCTATAAAATGGGTATAATAACACCTGTAATGAAAGGCACACGGTATGATGGACAGAGCCAGGAAGATCTGGGAATACAGGCTCCTTTCAAGCAAGGATTATTTCATTCATTCTATTGCCAACACCTGGGACAGTGTCTGGGACTTCTCAGGGGCTTAATAAATGTTTGTTGATGGATTGATTGATTTGATTAGTTCCAGTGGAGCCTCTGGCTCATTCTGGCTGTGTGACTCTGGGCAAGTCACTTAATATCTCTGAGCCCCAGACAACTCTAAGACTATAAACCACAGAAAAAAGTGCTGATCTGCACTGGAGGAGGGAATTTCCTCACTGAGGAGTTCCCTATGAAGTTTGATGAACAAACTGGCTACAGCACTTGACTCCTGGGCTTGTTTTGGGGCTCAAGCGAGAGAGGGCCCCAAAGGCTTTGCAGATTTCAACTGTATAAAGTTGGTTATCATCATCATCATCACCATCATCATCATCATCATCATCATCATCATCATCACCATCATCATTGTCACCATTGTTGTCATCATCATCATCATCATCATCATCATCATCATTGTCATCATCATCATCATCACCATCATCATCATCATCATCATTGTCATCATCATCGTCATCATCATCATTGTCATCATCACCATCATCATCATCATCATTGTCATCATCATCGTCGTCATCATCATTGTCATCATCATCATCATCATCATCATCATCATTGTCGTCATCATCGTCATCATCATCATCATCACCATCATCATCGTCGTCATCATCATCACCATCATCATCATCGTCATCATCATCATTGTCATCATCACCATCATCATCATCATCATTGTCATCATCATCGTCGTCATCATCATTGTCATCATCATCACCATCATCATCATCATCATTGTCATCATCATCGTCATCATCATCATTGTCATCATCACCATCATCATCATCATCATTGTCATCATCATCGTCGTCATCATCATTGTCATCATCATCATCATCATCATCATTGTCGTCATCATCGTCATCATCACCATCATCACCATCATCATCGTCGTCATCATCATCACCATCATCATCATCACCATCATCACCATCATCATCACCATCATCATCATCGTCATCACCATCATCATCATCTTATTTTTCAATTAAATTCAGATAGCGCGCTGGTCCTGGGATAAGTCATTCTCTTGCTACTATTCTGTGATGTTTAATGTGAGTATTAGACTTAGGGATTGGACTTGTGATTGTCAATGTTATAGGGAACTCCCAAGGGAGGAAAGCCCTTCTCCCAATACAGATAGGCATCCCTTTTTGCAACTTAGAGTCTTAGGGAACTCCTTGGGAGCACTGAGGGGTCGAGTGAATTGTCTAGGGTGACATCATCGAGGTGTGCCAGAAGCCAGGTTGCTCAGGCTTGGAAGCTGGCTCTCCCATCCATCTTGCTGTGTGAATTTTCATTAGTGTCTCATTCTTTTTCAATGAGTTTCACATAGAAGTTATGCTGGGACAAGTTGCTGCCCAGCTAGTATTTTTTAATGCCTAATATTACATGGACGAATGCCCCGGGGATAAAATGGCTGTAATTTGTAACTGCATGAAAGTATTAGAATGTCAGCTTATCCCCTGCAGGCTCACAGGAAGCACATTCAGGATCACTCCTGCTGCAGAGAGGATGACGAGGAAGACATGCACCGCCTCCTGCTCCAGTACAGCTCTGCTTTCTTCTGCTAGGTCTCTGTGTTTTGAAAACTTTTCATTCCATGGAATTTGGAGATTGAGTCTTTGGCAGGGTGACGTCTATTAAAACCACTGTCCTCATATTTTTGTAGATCAATGGTAGATCTGGGCAACTGTCAGCAACCATAGTGTTGGTAGGTCCTGAACTGTTTCTTTGCTGACTTCTGGTGGTAGTTCAAAGCTTGTATTTGTAGCACGGTGATTTGTAGCTTTGCAAGCTTCTGGTGTATCATTCTAGCCTCTAGGTCATTTTCTCAGATATTTGGTGGGAGCTTTCATTTAATTTTTATTTTAATTTAGGATAATGGGAGGGACTGGGTCTGTGATTTTATTAGTATAGGAAACTACCCAGTGAGGAAACTCCATCTCTCCATACAGAGCAACTCTACCTTTCAATAGTAATACAGAGAAGATAGGCCCCCTCTCTGGAACTTTGGTTCTAGAGCAATGGTTCTCAAACTTTTAGGTCTCAGGACCCTTTTCCACTCTTAAAATTAGTGAGGACCTCCCCCCTGAAGAGCTTTCCTTTATATGGGCTATCGATATTTATGCTATTAGAAATTGAAAATTTATGGTTATTATGACAATCATTTTGTCCTTGAGGATCCCCTGAGAGGGTCTCATGGACTCCCAAGGGTCCCCAAACCACACTTTTGAGAACCAGTGCTAAGAGATTAAGTGACCCTACCACAGTCAGGAAACTGGCATGTAGCAGAGGTGAGATTTAAATTCTTGTCTTCCTTACTCCAAGGCTAGCTTTTATATCCACTATCCAATCCTGACTCTAAATCACATTTGATCAAGGCTGGCAGTCTGTAGGGGTTCAATCTGAGGGCTGCTGGGCTGCCCCCACTGAATACTTAAAGTAGCATCATTGGTGATTAGAGCTCATGGCTCTATTTGGGAGCAAACAAGTGATTGTGCCACACATCCCCATCTCTTGATGATTTTTCTTTCTTTCATTATGTTCACCTCATTGTGAGGGACCCCCTGGCCAATGAGAGGGTCTAGACCAGGTAAGAATCTATGGTAGGCAAGTATCACTGGCCAAAGGAGGCTGGGAGAGAGAGGTCATTAGTATAGCCATAGAAGGCTCTCCTCACCTAAAGAGACTTGGTGGTCAAAACCCAGCTAGCTCTGGTTACTCATGGGGAGTGAGGAGGCTCACCAGGGGCCCTATCCCTACCCCAGCTGCCCCAGGGTCTCAAGCTCTGGCCACACTACAAATCATGCCCCACGTGAAGGAAGAGGCCATATGTAGGTATCCCAGCGTGAGAGAGAGAATAGTGACTCCCCTTACCCCCAATACAATCACTAGAAATGTCTCTAGGTCACCCCTTTCCCCTGTATCCCTCATCCCCCAGCCTCAGGAGAGTAGTGAGGAACCTGATTGCCTTGGTGACACTGTGGCTCAAATGAGGGGCAGATGTGGAGAGGAAAGGAGAATCGGCCAAGAGCTCACCTCTCTGCCCAGGGCTGGGCTGGACTGTCTGCGCTGTAGCTGTCCAGATGCTCGCCCACTACCTCTCTGTGACCTCCCAGCTTCCCGGGCCTGGTATGTCTCCAAGGCTTCCGACTTCCTGTAAACCAAGGGGTACCAGAGTCTCTGAGGTCCCCCCAGGGCCCCTTTCCAACACCATCCCTCCCTCCCTCGCCTCCTCTCTACCCCACCGTTCTTAGCTCCCTACTTCTCAGGTACCTCAATCTAGCTTACGTGAGTGGGCAGTCATGGGCTCTCTAGGTTCTAATCCCAGGGCTGTGTGATCAGAACCAAACTGAACCCCTCTCTGGGCTTCTTCTTTCTTCAGTGGAAAATGAAGGCACAGGGCTGGATGAGGTCCCATTCAGCTCTAGCGTAGGATCCTGGGATCTCCTTAATCTCTGTTTTCTCACCTTTAATGGGGAGCTCTAGAGCTGGGATCATAGGCTATCTCTGGGCCTTAGTTTCCTCCTCGGTAAAATGAGGTCCCTTCCAGCTCTAAATCTAGGGTCCTCTAATCCTATGATCTTCCGTTGTTAGGAGGCTTTTCTTCACATCAAGCCAGAATCCCCTTGTCCGTAACTCCCTCCCCCAGTCCGGAGCTCTGCCCTCCAGCAGGCTGCTTGCCTGAAAGCTCTTCAAAAACTTGAAGACAGTGTCTGTCCCTCCCTCAGTGTCTATCTATCCCTCCTTCTTCTGACCAGTCCTCTTATAGTACGTGGTCCTGAGGCCCTTCTCCATGCTGTCCACTTGTCACTGAGCTCCGAGTTACTGAGGTCCCCTTTAAAATGTGGTGCTCTGAGCAGGAGCGTTGGGTCTGCTCTCTAGAGGTGGTATACAGCCTTCAGGGCTGCCTTGTCATAATAGTGACCCATAGGCATCTGGGCCCAGGCTCAAGAAGACCTGAGTTCAAACCCGACCTCACACATTTACAAGCTGGGTGACCCTGGGCAAGTCAATTGACCTCTGCCTGCCTCTGTTTCCTCATCTGTAAAATGAGGATAATAATAGCACCTCCCTCCCAGGGTCGTTGTGAGGATCAAATGAGATAATATTTGTTAAGTGCAGTTAAATGGCACGTAGTAGGTGAAATATAAATGTTAGCTATTACTATCATCATATTGACCATAATTGCCATCCAGTAAAACACCATGATCTCTCTCAACTTGTCTCTATCCCCTCTCTCCTTCCCTCTTCCTCATTCTCCCCCCAGTCTGCCTCACTCTCTTGGTGATTTTTTTTAGAGGCAATCAGGGTTACATGGCTTGCCCAGGATCACGTAGCTAGTAAGTATCCGAGGCTGGATTTGAACACAGGTCCTCCTGATTCCAGGACTGGTGCTCTATCCACTGCACCACCTAGCTGCCCTTCTCTTGCTGATTTTTTGAACCTAAGAGGAGGATTTTGTATTTATATCTATGAAATTTCATCTCCACAGCTTCAGAAGGATGAAGTTTCTGGTACCCTGAGCCTGGGTGCAGGTCCCCCCACTGGCTCCATTCTCTGCACTGAGAATGCAGGCTGCAGCTGTTGTCTTCTGCCCTATGGAGAGAGCTCCCTCCCATAGCATCAACCCTCAAAGGTCAGGTTAGTCCTGGGGCTGTTTGCTTCTATTATGTGGAGGCAGAGAGAGGGCAGACAGATGGCTGCAGACCCTGCCCTCCTGAGGCCTCACCTGCGCTCGTGCCTGAAGATTCGCTCCACCTCGGTGAGGCCGGGGCTGCGGGTGCGGTCACTGGCACTGCCGTTCTGCTTGCCCATGGCCTCTTTCTGGTTCAGCCTCTTGGGTGGGGGAAGATCAGCCAACACTGTGTATTCCTCCCGTTCCAGGTTACGTCTGCCCTCCCCATTGCCAGACCCCTTGGAAGCAGAGGGCCCTGGTGGGGGGGAAGAATACCTAGCAACCCCAGGGGAGTCCCAATGGCGGGGCGGGGAGGAGTTACGTGGGGCATCTCGGTGCCCAATGCACACATGGAGGGTTGGTTGGAGGGGATCGTGCAGGGAGTCCATGGAAGGAGTAAGGCTCTTGGAGCTGGCACCTGGAGGGTTCTGAGTGAGGAGGGAAGGGTCATTGTGGGCCTGGCATGGGGGGGAAGTAAAAAGTGGGGCATCGCGGTGCCCAATGCACACAGGAGATGGCATCTGGGGAGGGTGATGCTGAGAATCTACAGAGAGAGCCAGGCTCTCAGAGCTGGCCCCAGGGGGATCCTGGTAAAGGAGGGAAGGGTCATGCTGAACATGGCGTGGGGGGAGAAGAGAAGGGAGGGGCATCCCGGTGCCCAATGCATACAGGAGGTGGCACATGGGGGGCATCATGCACAGAGCTTGTGGAGGGAGCCAGGCTCTCAGAGCTAGCTCCAGGGGGATCTTGATAGAGGAAGGAAGGCTCTTGCTGGGACTGGCGTGGAGGGGATGAGGCCCGGGGAGCATCCCGGTGCCCAATGCACACAGGAGGTGGCATCTGGGGAGGGTCATGTTGAGGAGATTGGCTCTCTGCAGTGTCTGAGGTATTTGGGAGGAAAGGAAAGGGATCATGTTGGGAGTAGCGAGGAGGCGAAGAGGCCCGAGGGGCATCTCGGTGCCCAATACAGACAGCTGGAGGGATATAGGGGGGTTCATGATGGGCGGATTGGCTCTCATCATCATGGGGTTCAGGAAAGAATGAGAATGGGTCATGCTGAGAAAATCGGGGGGGTGAGGATGCCCGGGGTGCATCTCGGTGTCCAATGCACACAACTGAGGGGGAGTTAGGAGAATCAAGGGAGGTAGAACGTGAGAGAGAAGAGGCCTGGGAGGCAGTATGTGTGGAAGAGAGAGGTGAAGTGGAACTCCAAGGGCCACTGTGGCAACTGGAACCCCGAATTGGGGTATCACGTTGGCTGGTTTTAGAGGAAAGTTGAGATGAGCGTGTGGGAGAAGAGGTCCAGGAATTGTCCCCTTGGACTGGCCGGAGAGGAAAGGAGGCCCAGGGGACCTCACTTCGTTTAGAGCGGGTTGGAGAGGAAGCCCGAGGTCCATCGCTTTGGATTGGGCGGAGGGGGAAGGAGGCCCAAGGAATGTCACGGTTAGTGCGATGGGGAGAGGAGGTCCGCGGGTTGCTCCATTGGCTGGATCGTGTGGGAGAGGAGGACCCAGGATTGTCTCGTTGAATAGAAGAAGATCGAGGATTATCCTGCTGGGTGGAAGAAGCCCGAGGATTATCCTTTGGTGTAGTCCGGGCAGGAGAGGAGGCCTGGGGATTGTCTCGTTGGGCAGAACAGGTTCTAGGGTTGTCCTGTTGTCTGGGAGGAGCCTGAAGATTGCCCCGTTGAATGTATCGAGCAGAATAGGAGGAACCAGGGTTGTCTCGTTGGGTAGAAGAAGCTCGAAGACTATCTCGTTGGCTGGGAGAAGCCTGAGGATTGTCCTTTGGGGTGGGCCGGGCAGGAGAAGAAGCCCAGGGGTTGTCTTGTTGGGTAGAAGAGGTTCTAAGGTTGTCCTGTTGAGTAGAAGAGCGTTGGATGGTGTTCCTGTGGGTAGATGATCGATGTGGAGAAGATGCCTGGGCAGTGTCCCGTTGGGTGGATAGATGGGGAGAAGATGCCCTGGTGGTGTCCCTCTGGGTGGATTGGTGAGGAGATGAGGACCTGGTGGTGTCCCTCTGGGTGGATCGATGAGGAGATGAAGACCTGGTAGTGTCCCATTGGGTGGATCGATGGGGAGAAGAGGATCTGGTGGTGTCCCTCTGGGTGGATCGATGGGGAGAGGAGGATCTGGTGGTGTCCCTCTGGGTGGATCGATGGGGAGATGAAGACCTGGTGGTGTCCCATTGGGTGGATCGATAGGGAGAAGAGGACCTGGTGGTGTCCCTCTGGGTGGATTGGTGAGGAGATGAGGACCTGGTGGTGTCCCTCTGGGTGGATCGATGAGGAGATGAAGACCTGGTAGTGTCTCGTTGGGTGGATCGCTGGGGATATGAAGACCTGGTAGTGTCCCATTGGATGGATCGATGGGGAGAAGAGGACCTAGTGGCATCCCTTTGGGTGGATTGATGGGGAGAGGAGGATCTGGTGGTGTCCCTTTGGGTAGATCGATGGGGAGAGGAAGACCTGGTGGTGTCCCTTTGGGTAGATTGATGGGGAGAGGAAGACCTGGTGGTGTCCCGTTGGGTGGATCGCTGGGGAGATGAGGCCCTGGTATTGTCCCGTTGGGTGGCTCGATGGGGAGAAGAGAACCTGGTGGCATCCCTTTGGGTAGATCGATGGGGAGAAGAGGACCTGGTGGTGTCCCTTTGGGTAGATCGATAGGGAGAGGAAGACCTGGTGGTGTCCCGTTGGGTGGATCGCTGGGGAGATGAGGCCCTGGTAGTGTCCTGTTGGGTGGATCGCTGGGGAGATGAGGCTTGGGGTGTGTCATGGTATGTGGTTTTTGCAGGACCAGGGTTTCGTGATGTACTTCTAAGTCCACTTTGTAGACTTTTGGAGGCCTGGGCTGAATCCAACTTATTCCTTTCCAAGGAGAAGTAACCACTCTCCCCACGACACTTAGACTGGCTCTCCCTAGAATTCTGGTTCCCATGACTAGGATCTGGAAAGAGAAGATGGGGGACTCTGGAACACCAAAGGTACAACAAGGTGAGGCACTGGGCCGTATCATTGATTGGCTAACACCTTTCACCCTGGTGCATTATCAGTGAAGAGCCCCACTAGTTCATTTTGGAGCCACTGGAGACTTTGAGATGATATCTGGGGAGGTTGGAGATTGGAACATGGTTCTTCCATGTTAGCAGGTGAGGGTGACCTGAGCTCACTACCTTCATGTATTATGAACATCTATAAAGAGGTCCCTATGTCAGGATCATACGGTTTAGAGGAGAAAAGGACCTTAGAACAGAAAATGTCAGAGCTGAGAGGACCTTTGGACAGTGACTTTACTGACATTCTCTATTCCAAGGGCCCTCCTACATCTGACATTCCCTGTTCTAAGGCCCCTCCCAGCTCTGACATTCCATGTTCTAGGGCCCCTCCCAGCTCTGACATTTTCTGTCTCTGGTTCTATATGAACTAGTGATTCCTCCTCAAACCCTGTAGAACCCAAAGACGTAGTGATCACTTGTCATGGATGATGTCATGAGATTCCTGCTCAGTCCGGCCTTGTCAGCTTCTGATGTCCTTCCCAGATCCAAGATTCTGTGCCATTGAACCCCCAGATTTCCATTCTTGACCCAGAACCACCCACCCCAGCTGAAATCCTGTAACTTTCCCCTTTCCAGAAAGGCACTTCAGCATCTCCTCCTCCCCAGAAGGATGCACTGAGCCTGATGCAGAAGGAGAATTTACCTTCCTTCCTGAGTCCCAGAGTTTCACCTGTGGCTGACGCCCTGGAAACCGAGGATGGAGCCCTCCGGGGACTGTCGGCCGGTGTGCGTTCCTGACGCTTGGCAAACATCATGATGAGCCCGTCAGAGCCCCAAGGCTTATCGGGCCAGTCCACAGCATCCGAGTCCTGCACAGGCACAAGGGGTAAGGGATTGGGAGGGGAAGCTTGGCTCAAGGGGCCCTGTTTCCAGGTTCTTATGGGGTCAGGGAGCAGTGCCTAAGCTGGAGTGTTAAGAAGGGATCTCAGAACAGTGTAGCACAGTGGATAGAGCACTGGACTTGGAATCGGGAAGACCGAGGTTCAAATCCCATCCCTGTTGTTTAGCTGCGTGACCTTGGACAATTGGCTTAACCTCTCTGTGCCTCAGTTTCCTCATCTGTAAAATGAAGGGTTTGTACTTACAGGCTTTTAAGGTTTCTTCCAGATCTAGACCCTAGGATCCTTCACAGAGGTGGGGGACTTGGGTGGAGATTCAAGTGATATTCTGGTTAGTTTTACTGAAGTGCTTTGAATTTTTTTTTGTTTGTTTTGTTTTTGCTAGGCAATGGGGTTAAATGACTTGCCCAGGGTCACACAGTTATGTGTCTGAGGCTGGATTTGAACTCAGATCCTCCTGACTCCAGGGTCAGTGCTCTATCTACTGTGCCAACTAGCTGCCCCTGAAATTTTTTTTTAACAAGGGATGGTTTGGTGGGTAGTAGATGCAGAAGGGGGTATATTTATAAATAAAGATGATATAAAAACAAGAAATACCAATATAAATTAAAAATCTAAAAAATTAAATTAAAAAATAAAACTGCTTACAAAAAAAGGATGACATTAACAAGTAATGATAAGCTGGAAAGAAATAAATTCCTAGTCTTTTTTTTCTGGGTAATCATTTTATTAATTATGACTAGTGAAGAATTAATAAGAAGGATGGCCATTTGCCTTTCTCTCATAAATCAAATATGAATCATGGAGGCCTCTCACCGCTTATATGCCCTTGGAAGGAAAAAAAAAAGGGACCACCAGGAGGTCAACGCTAGGTGCCCTTTGAAGATTGCATCATGTTGTGTGAAGGAGCTCAGACCCAAGTCAGAGGACCTGGGTTCAAATCCAATCCAACTTCTGACATTTACTAAGTTTGTGACCTTGGGCCTCAGTTTTCCCATCTCTAAAGTGAAGAGGTTGTTCTAGATGGCCTCTGAGGTCCCTTCCCGGCTCCAGATGGATGAGCCCAAGATTCTCTAAGTACCTTCTGTGATTCCCCAGAAGCCCACAGGGCAAAGTTCTGCTAGGGGTTTCAGATCCCTACTGCTCCTGCCCCCAACTCCATCCCTCTCTGTGGAAAAAAGTGTGAGCAGAAAGTCTTGCCTGTGCACTGGAGAGAGCCCCTAATTTGAAGAGCAGGGTTCACAGCCAAAGGGAACCAGACAGCCTAGCCCCGGGAATGAACTTGGCTGGAGGCAGGGGGAACCTGTCAGGCTAGCCCCATTAGCTCTGGGATTCAGCCAAGAGCTCATGTTTCTGGAGCATCTTTCAAAGCAGGTCCACATTTCTCATCTCCTTGTACCTTCACCAGACCCCATAATGTGGTGGTACAAATCCCTTATGCCCAGGTCCTGTGATTCCACCAGGCTAGGGGACTCTCAGTGAGAAAATTCCCTCTTGCAGTGCACATCAGCCCTGCCTTGGGAACTTGAGAAAGTTACCTTTGGGCACTGAGAAGTTACTGCTCATGGTCCCACAGCCGGTGGGCTGTGAAGGGACTTGAGCCTGGGTCTTCCTAACTCCAAGCCCCCATCCTCCCCTCCCCTTTGTCCACTTTCTAAGATGCTTCTTGGTCATCCCCATTTTATAGGTGAGGAAAGAGACTCAGATAGGGTAAGTGATTTGTCTGTGGTCACACAGCTGACAGAGCTCTGATTTCACTCCCCCCCCCCCAGAGTCCCCTGGCTCTAAGCCCAGGGTTCTGTCCACCAGGTCAGGCTGGGCCCGGGTGATCTGATGGGATAAACACAGGAGCAAGCTACTTGCACCCCCAGCTCCTCCCTGCCCCTTCTCACCGCAGCGTCTGGGGTGCTGGTATCATCAGGACAGTGGGTGCCTGTGCTGCGGTCAGGGCTGATGCTGGCAGCGGCTTTGCTGGCCTGGCTGTCCTCTGAGGAGTTTCTCAACTGTGGGCTGATCAGGCTTTCTAGGTAGGGCACCCCACCCCCGATCTCTTGGCCCCCAGGCTGGGCCACGGAACTCTCTGCTGAGTGCCGCTGCACTGGAACCTTGAGACTAAAAAGACAGATACAACAGCTACTGCCAGGACATGAAAGGCACTGTGGCAATGGACTTGGTGTTAGAAAGACCTGAGTTCAGATCCCACCATAGACATTTAATAGCTGTGTGACTCTGAGCAAATCACTTAATTTCTCTGAGTTTCAGTTTTCTCATCTGTAAAATCACTCAGTGGTTCACTACCAGTTCTAAATCAGATCCTGTGGCTCCTCCCCTTCCAAAAAGAAATAGTGAGTTGGGAGAAACGGACAGAAATATGTGTGTTACACAGATATTTATATATAGAACAACTCCTGTCTCTGAACCTCAGTTTTCTCATCTGTAAAATGGGGATGATAATATATCCTCCTTACTAGCCCCATCTGGCAGATGAGTAAATGGAGGCTCCAGGGCTGTGCCATGGCCAAGGAACTAGTAAAGGTCACAGCTGGTATTTGAATGGGGTTTCTAGGCTTGAAGTCCAGTATTCTGTTGCTTCTGGGGGTGAGGGGCAGGTGGCACTATTTAAAAATATAACAATGAAACTTGAAAGGGGTCAGGTAGGTTTGCTGAATCTTTTTTTCCCCCTCTTCCTTCTTAAAAAAAATTCTTCATTCTGGGGGATGGCTGTCTGGGAGAGGGGAGGAAGGAATCAGGGTGTTGTAAGTGCAAAAGATAACAAACTTTTTAAAAAATTCATTACCAGCTAATTTTCTCCCCCAAACAGTTGGGGTTTTTTTTTGAGGCAATCAGGGTTAAATGAGTTGTTCAAGGTCACACAGAGTGAATGTCTGAGGCTGGATTTGAATTCAGCTCCTCCTGACTCCAGGGCCAGTGCTCTATCTTCTGCACCACCTAGCTGCCCCAGTTGAAAATAAATAAAGTTAGTGGGGACTCCCCAGGGCCAGAGAGCTTTGCCTTTAGCACTCCCTCACTTAATAGCCAATCTTTCTGTAAAACTTTAGACTTCCAAAGCACTTTATCTCATCTGCTGGGAGGTAAGTGGTATGAGTACCCTCATTTTACAGATGAGGAAACTGAGGCTAAGGAAGGTGAAAGGACTTGCCCAGGTCCCCAAACTTGTGTCTGAGGCAGGATTTGAACTCAAGTCTTCCTGATTCCAAGTCCCAACCCTCTATCCACTCTGCCACTTTGCTCCTACAAATGTTTATATTTATCCTCCTATATCAATTGTTTTTGACCCATGGTGGACTTTGCCATCCTTCTCCCTCCTGCCTTCTCACTGCTCCTCCTCCATGCCATTCCCCTTCTCCCATTAGTGATTCCCCTAGGGACCTCCATTTTGAGGGACAGGGCCAAGCCAACCCTGCTCCATTCTCTTCCCAGTCAATCTCCTAGCTCTAATACCACCATGCCCTAGTATGGGCACCTTCCCTCTCCCTCCTCCCCTCTTTTCAGTTCCCTTTTCTGTATTGTTGTCCCTTATTAATTATAAGCTCCTTATTAATTATAATTGTAATAATTTCTTATTAATTGTAAGCCCTTAGGGGTAGAGACTTTCTTTTACTTGTATTGGTATTTTCATGCTTGGCATGGTGCCTGGCACAGAGCAGGCATTGGACAAATTTTATTCCCAGGCCTGTCTGCCGGTTTCCTCTGTATAATGGGGAGATTGGACTGGGTGACCTCTGAGGTCCTCCCAGGTCTAAGTCTACGATTTTATAACTTCATCCATATATCTACAGAATTCACAAAATGCCCAAGATTAAGCAAAAGTTTCCAACGGATAAGTGGCCAGAGGATAGCAACAATTTTCCAAAGAAGAATTGCAAGCCATTAATAACCATATGAAAAGATGGACCCGGGAAAAGCTAGTCCTGGGAAATGCAACCTCACTCCTGACAAATCCCCCAAGATGATAAAAGATCGAAACAGTCAACCACAGAGAGACTCCAGGAAGTCAGGCCCCTGATGCGCTGGTGGTGGAGATGCCTATCAGCCCAACGCTTTGCACAACTGGGAATTGTGTGAGAAAAGTCACCGAAGTGTTAATAGGCTCCAACCGAGGGATCTCCCTGCTGGACGCCTACCCTCGAGGGGTCAGAGTTTGAAAGTAAGGTCCCTTACTGAGCCTCCCCCAAGAAGCTGGAAACACCCCCCACCCCAAACTGGAAACCTAGTGGATGCCCATCAGTTGGGAATTGCTGAACAAATTGTGTGAATCACAACGGAATGGAATTCAATGACCTCATAAGAAATAAGGATTGTAAGGAATTCAGAGAGAGAGGAAAACTCAGCAGAATGAAGAGAAGGCTATTGTGGGACCACAATGGGGATGGAAAGCAGTGTTTAACAGCAGCGGATCCCAGATTAAATGCAATAAATGACTTTGTTTCAGATAAAGGCTAATGAGCACACCTCTTGTCTTGGGGGGCAGGGGTGGGGAATGTTGCCTAGACAGGTTGGGGGGCAGGACCCACTTTCTCTGGGAAGGGTCAATAGAAATAAGTGTGGTGTTCAAACAGTCTATCATGAAAACTTTATTTTTTTTAGGAATAACTTACAAAGTCTAGAAAGTGGAATAAAATACGGGAGGGGTCGACTGAGTTGATGAGGGACGGGAGAGGAGACAAAACCCTCCAGTTTTGAGGAAAGGTCAACAGTGGTGTTCCTGGAATCCAAAATGGAAGCAGAGGGTGCCTCCAGAGACTGGACAAGTGGACAGGTCAGTCCGGGGGGCTGCTGAGCAGCAGCAGAGCCCAAAGGAGGGGCCTGCAAGGGCGGGTGGCAAAGGGACCTGGGAGAGACTGTCTGATGCTGTGAACTTGGTAAGGAGAAGTGGAAACGTGATATGGGCTGTGAGACACCTCAGCTGTCTAGAGTTTGCACCTGGAAAAGCCCTCACTCTGGGGGAAGGTCTGGCCATGCCGTGGACTGGCATAATAACCAGAATAAGGGAGACAGGGAGGTATGAGAGAAAGAATTGGACTCTGGACTCAAAGATTTCTGCTTTGACCATTTGCTACATAACCTGTGTGACCCTGAGCAGGTTCCTTCCCCTTCCTGGGCCTCACTTTCTTCTTTTGTTAAATGAGGCAGTTGGATAAGATGGCTTCCGAGGTCCCTGCCAGCTCTGAGATCCTATGACTTCTCTGGGCCTCAGTTTCCCTGTCTATAAGATGAGAGGGTTGGATTGGATGGCCTCTGAGATCCCTTCCAGATCTAAGATCCTATGACTTCTCTGGGCCTCAGTTTCCCCATCTGTAAGATGAGAGGGTTGGACTAGATGGCCTCTGAGATCCCTTCCAGCTCTAAGATCCTATGATTTCTCTGGGCCTCAGTTTCCCCATCTGTAAGATGAGAGGCTCTGAGGTCCCTTCCAGCTCCAGGTCTACAAGCCTCAGCCAAGGCTCATTGTCAGGAGAGGTGACCTTGGACTTTAAATGCCCAAGAGAATACCAGGTTGGAAAGGTCCCACCCAGATGAAAAAACCCAGCATCATCTTGAGACAAACTTATTGTAGGACCATGTCTCTTGAGCCAGAATGGACTGGAGGCCACTGAATCTAATCCCTCTTCCCTCATTTTTCAGTTAAGGAACCTAAGGATAAAAGACTTGGCCTAGGTCACATATCTAGTGTTTGATGCAGGATTTGAACCCAGATTCTTTGGGCTCCAAGTCCAGGGCACTCTCCACTCTATCATGCTGCCTAGATACCTCTAGAGTTTGTCACCAGAGAATGAGTTTTTAAAAAAAATTTTAAAAAATTTTTTATTTTTAGGAAATTGAGGTTAAGTGACTTGCCCAGGGTCACACAGCTAGTAAGTGTTAAGTGCTTGGTCTGAGGTCGGTTTTGAACTCAGGTCCTCCTGACTTCAGGGCCCATGCTTTATCCACTGCACCACCTAGCTGCCCCCAGAGAATGATTTCTTTTGGCCAAAACAACTCCTGAAGAACATCAGTGGAGACAGGGAGGGGTACTGACCTGAATCAGGGAAGGTCCACTCTAAGGAAATCACAGATCTCTAGGTCTGTGAAGCATTACAGAGTCTGCAAAATGTGTGTCCTCATCATGTCTGTGAGTCTGGGCAGACCAAGAGTATTGTCCCCATTCTACAGATAAGGCTGAGGGTTATTAAAGAAATACCAGGATTTGAACCCAGGTCTCTGAACCCCAAGTCTGGGCCTGTGTCCAGTATATCACTGCCTTTCCCAAAGGAGTGGACAAGGAAGAAGAAGTGGGGGAGTGGGGGTGGCAAAGGTGGGGGAGAAGCATGGCATCTTTGATGACAGGAATCTGATCATGGGCTACCTGGTGTCTTTTGGGTGAGGGCATGGGGAAGTGCATCACACGAAGATGAGCACCTCACCAGAGGGCGTGGCTAGAGCAGCCAGCCAGGAGAAGGGTTCAGGTGAAGACTTCTTGGCACCAGCAGCATTCCGTCCCCCCATCCCCTACACACAGACAAGGTGACATACAGGTCTCTGGACCAGGACCTACCTCTCAGGTTTTTGCTCAGGGCCAGTGGCCACCACCAACTCACACCTGGAGGTCAAGATGCAGAGGGTATCCTTGGGGTGGTGGGCACCTTGGTGCAGATCACGGTAAGGAGCCTCAGCCCCCACAGACCTCCCTGTCTCCTGGAAGGGGAGAGGAGAGGAGTAGCCCCTGAGAAATAGAGGGGCAGGTACCCAAATGCGGGGTTTAGCAACTTCTATGGGGCAAACAGTGAGTGAGAGAGAGAGAGAGAGAGAGAGAGAGAGAGAGAGAGAGAGAGAGAGAGAGAGAGAGAGAGAGAGAGAGAGAGAGTGTGTGTGTGTGGTGTGTGAGATACTGGCTGTGTGACATTTGGAAAGTTGCTTTCCCTCTCTGTGAAATGAGAAGGTTGGCCTGGATGGTCTCTATGGTACCTTCTGGCTCTGACTCCTGTTCCTCCAAAGTCAGGGCGCTGTGCTGAGCCAGTGACATACCTGTAATATGCCCGGTAACCTGTACTGTGCTGTATGCATTATGGGTGGAGAGATGTGCTTCTGGGGGGGGGCAAGAGAAGTCAGAAGGTAGACAGGGAATAAGGACAGAAGGAGGGATTAGGGAAAAGAAGGCTCATGGGACTTCAGAATGTCAGAAGAACCTTAGAACAGGGAAGGTTAGTGCTGGGAGAGCCCTTAGAACAGGGAATGTCAGAGCTGGGAGGAACCTTAGAACAGGGGATGTCAGGGCTGGGAGGGGCCTTAGAACAGGGAGTGTCAGAGCTGAGAGGAGACATAGAAAAAGCCATGTCAGAGCTGGGAGGAAGCTTAGAATAGGGAATATCAGGCCTGGGAGGGGCCTTAGAACAGGATGGCAGAGTTGAGAGGACTCCAAAACAAAATTTTAGTACCGTAGAACATCAAAGCTGAAAGAGACCTCAGAATATAGGATGTTAGAATATAGGATGTCAGAACCAGGAAGGCTCTTAGGACTTGGAGTATCAGAATTCAGGCTGGGGAGAGAGAAACCTTAAAATGTTAGAATACAAGATATCAAGACTAAGCAGGACCTTAGAACATAGATGTTAGGGCTGGGAGGGACCTTAGAACATAATAGTACATAGAACATGTGCTAACAAATACTAAAATAATAATTAATACATAGAATATGTAAATAAATCAGAACTGGCAGGGTATCTTAGAACATAAAATATCAGAGCTATGAGGGACTTTAGACACAGAGTGTCAGAGCTGGGGGGGAACGCCAAAACGTAGAGTGTGAGCACTGGAAGAGATTCAAGAACCTAGAATGGGAGGGCTGACAGGGATGTTAAGTCATAGAATGTTAGAACGTAAATTGTGAAAACTGGGAAGGACCTTAAAATAGAGAACAAGGAATCATAGAACATAGACTGAGTGCCTGTAAATCCCTCTGTTCAAACTGGGAGGGATCTTAGCGGGCAGAATGTCAAATCACATTCAGAGCCGAAAGGGGTCTGAGGGACACAGAACGATAGAACCCAGACGAGTTAAGAGCTAGAAAGAATATAGTCCGGGGGTTCTTAACCCTTTCTAGGTCCTAGCCCTTCACAGAACCATGTTTTAAGAGCATTAATTCCGTGGGATGACAAGGAAAATCAGAGACACTGAAATACAGCTCCGAGGAGAGCGTTTGAAAACAAATTCAGAGGGCCCGGGCTCCGAATCCGCGCTCCAGTCTAGCGCAGAGATGCATACCAGGACCCAGTGGTGACCCATGGCCGGCCAAAGGGAACCCCGCGTAGTTGGTAGTAGAGGCAACATTAAAGAACCGGAACTAAGCCAAAAGAGAAAAATGGAAGATGAGAGAAAAGGAGAACTCTGGGATGGGGGGAGGGGGACTGGGCGGTTCGGGGCACCTTATGGAAGCGTAAGGATTAGGGCTGACAGGGCTGGAAGGGCCTGGCCAGAGGGCCTCCTCCGCTCTCCTGTTCAGTCTTCTCCTATCCTCAGGTCCTGGGCAGGGGCATGGCTGAAGTGTGGCCGCTCTGGGCTCAGCCGGGGAGACTCATCGCTCTTCACCTCTAGTTAGTGTGTCCCCCTTCCCCTCCCCAGCTCCCCCATCTCGTCCCAAGCCCTTGAGGAGTGGGGGAAGAGCCGGCCTCCCAGTGCCGCCCAACCCCTGCCCCGCCCCTTCTCTGGTTACCTTGGTGGGGAAGATGGCCTGAGGTCTTCGGGCAGGGCGGCTGTCAGCACCCTTGTGCCCCCGGGGGGCGCGATGCTCAGGCCCCCACACCGAGGCCCGGACTCCCAACCCCAACAGAGGCAGCAGTAACCCTAGAGGGGCTGGCCAGGAGGGAGTGAGGGGCCCTCATTACTCTTTCATAAGCCGGAGCGGGGCCAAGAACAATGCCGCAAATGAAACCGCCGGAACTTGACACCTGCCGAGCTCACCTGAGGGCCCCAGGGAGCAGGGAGAGGGGCCCAGAGACACACACACTGCAGCTCCCCATGGGGACAAAGCCCGGGGCTCAAAGGGCTCCGATCCAACCCTCCCCTCCCCCCGCCCCGGGTGGGAGGAGGGGGCAGTGAGCAGGGCCTGACCCGAACAAGAGGACAGGGCCAAATTGTCCCCTCGGCTCTATCCTTCTGGAGGAGCCTCAGACCCTTCCGCCCCCGCGAACGCCATTCACCAGGGCCCAGGGCAGAGCCAGCTCTCTGGGACCACTATGGGCTCCCCCATCTTGAGCAGAGAGCACTACCATGCAGGCCTTCCCTGTGTGGGAAGGAGGGGACAAGGGCCCAGGCCTGGGGATAGTCTGTCCTGACTACAGCCAGATCAGAATCAGGGGAGGTCACTGGGTGGAGGCTGTCCCCAGAGGCCAGAGGGGAGGTGAGTCAGATGCACAGCTCACCCAGTGCTGGCCGGCCACTTGGCCTTTGTTTCACCACATGGCACTTGCTGCCTCTCCTTTCTTCTCCCTCTGCCCTCCCCTTGGGCATGCCCAACCTGACCTTCAGTTCTCTTTCACTGATTTGGCATGTCAGCCTTCTTGTCTCCTCATTTCCCCTCCCTCCCCTCATATGAACAACCCAAATCCCTTCTTCTAGGGCCATGACCTAGTTTCCCTGAGAGAAGCTGGTTTCTTAGACACCTTCACACATCTCCATCCATCCTCCTACCCAGGGAACCTAAGAATTGCCAGTAACCACCGCCACTGCTACCTGGGCAGCCCCATGATCCAGGTAGACTCAGTTTCCCCTCTGTGCTCTGTCCCCAAATCTCCTTTGTGGTCTAGTGAGTGGCAGCTTAGCCCAGAGGTTAGAGTGGGATTTCTCAAGCTGGTCTTAGGTCCTATAGTTCCGTGGAAGCTTGTTCTCCTTCAGGCCTCACCTCTACCCTCAGCTGCCATGTCCTTCCTTCAAGCATGTGCCCAGGTCATCCCCCTTGGCTGGAGTGAGCCCTCCTCCACAGCTGAGGCTCTCAGAATGCTTATCAGATGTCACCTCCTCTGAGCAGATTTCCTGATCACCACCTCTCCCTTCTGCTGAAATTTCCCTAGAGCCCAGTGGTGGAATCCTTCCATACCCCAAATTTCTCTACCTTCTATCATGTTCATGTATGTCTATGCTGGTAGGGCTGAGTCATTTTTGAATCTCAGCTTCCCTGGTTTGGAGTACAGTGCCTCACACCTCTATAGAGGATGCTTAATAGGTCTGTTGGGTTTAAAGGGCTGAGTGGCTAGAGTCCTACAGACCTGGCCAGGATTCCATGGGAGCTGACTGGGATCCTTGTTCTAAAGCCCCTCCCAGCCCTGACGTTTCCTGTTCTAAGCTCCCTCCCAGCCCTGACATTCCCTGTTCTAAGATCCCTCCCAGCTCTGACATTCTCTGTTCTAAGCTCCTACCCAGCTCACTGGGATCTCCCCCCAGAACCATCTGAGCATTCTCTGGATGCTTTGCTAGGCTTTAAAGAAACTCCCCATGCAGAATGGTGTCCTTATAAAAAGCACCAATTTCTTTCAGTTCAAAATTTCTCTGACACTATTTTGCCTTGAATCAGATGAATTTCTCTTCCTCACGGACTATTTGCCTAAACCTGTGCATCTGTTCCCAAGCGCGACCACAAACACCAGCAGAGAGCCTCGGGCATTCTGTCCACTTGGTGCCCTGTTCCAGGTTCTTTCAATGTATTTAAAAACAAAAACCATGACTGTTCCATGACTTTTACAAGTTTGACACTTACTGGGTTGGAACCCAGGAAGTTATGGGGCCAGAGTTCCAGGTTCCTGCCCCAGGCAGTGGTCAGCTGGCTTTGGCAGGCTCCGTGGGCATGGGCCACACCCCTGTCACAGACAGCCCATGGTACCAATGGAATGGAGGCAGGGACATCTTAGAAGCGGTTTGGGGGCAATCCCTGGCTCAATCGGTCACGTGTTTTTAAAGCACCTACCTTGTATAGGCACATTGGACAGGGCCTGGCCCTACAAAGACAAAGTCCCAAACAAGATTCTGCCCTCAAGGACCTTACATTTGGGAGGGGGGTGGACTACATGACCCCCAGGGTGCCTCCTAATTGTTTTTCAAGCTTCTGTGATCACTTAATTTAACCTCCCCAATTCCCACCCCCTTCTCAGATAAGAAAATTTAAATGGGAGAATTGACTTGGCCGAGGTCACATTGTGCATAGATGATAGGTCTAGGCTAGAATCCAGGTCTTCTGACTTAGTCGTCTGCCCCCATTCCCTGTCCTCAATCCTTCTCACCCGGTTGGCTTGATATGACTGGCTTACTAGGTGCACGCTGGTGTCATAGGGAGTCTTGTGGGCCTCAGAACAACTTTGGCAGTGACTCTTTGCAAACACACCGGCCTCAGAGTGCTCACACAGGACATTGTCTGTCACCTTCTCCATAATGGAAAAGGTCAGGCAAGTACTGTCACCCAGAATGGGACCCCATCATTGGCAGTCACCTAGAATGCAATAGGAAAGAAGACAGATGTCAGATGCCTGCTCCCAAGTACCCTCCTCCCACTGACCCATGTACCCACACATACCCACACAGACACACATCAGGTCTTCACCAATGCCAGTCATAGCCTCTCCATGATTTAGAAGGTGGCTTCATGAATGACTATGTGCAAAAAAGAAAAATAAAATCACCATTTGGGAGCCAGCTATCTGTGGGGTGGGGCTTCTCATACTTAGCTATGGGGTCCTTAGACAAGTCAGGCCACTTGCACCTGGATAATGGGCTCACCTCTGGGCTGTCATGAGGAATTGAGGGAGGAAGAAACAGGCCCTAGAGTCACACTGTGTGGTCACACAGATCAGTCCACCCAAAAAAAGGAAGACTTTCCTCCCATCCCTGCACATGGACAGATTTGTAGGGGCTGTTTGGATCTGGAGTGTCTTTGAAAGTGTGGAGAGGAACTGCCCTCTATAGAATCATAGCATGTTAGAGCCTGAAGAAACTTTGGAACAGAGATCAGTGCTAGAGAGACCTTAGAACATGCTAGGTCAGAGCTGAGAGGGGCCTGAGAAGAGGGAATGTTAGGGCTGGGAGGGACCTTAGAACATGGAATGTCAGAGTTGGGAGAGGCCTCAGAACTGGGAATTTCAGAGCTGGGAGGGGCCTGAGAACATGGAATATTAGAGTTGGGAGGGACCTTGGAACATGAAATGTCAGGGCTGAATGGGAGCTTAGAATAGGGAAGGTCAGGGCTGGGAGGGGCCTTAGAACAGATAGTATTAGAGCTGGGAGGGGCCTTAGGTATTATTTAATAGTCTCCCCCCTCAATCCCTTCATTTTACACGGGAAGAAACTGAGACCCAACAGCCTGATTCCACAGGGGGCTGGCAGCTCCAGAGCTGAATTTCCCAAGCAGCAGCCCTCTCCCCATCCTCCTCCCCATCAGCTCTGCACTGTTATCCCAGATCTCTACCAGAGGCAGGCTCATTGATCAACAGTCCCAAGAGCACACCCAGGAATTCTTCAGAGTCTGGCTGAGATTCTTTCTCTAACATTGCACACCAAGGGAAAGAAATGACTTTCACCTTTACAAACACTTTTCCCTTCCAGGCACAAGCTGAGCCAGGCCGGGGGACTCACCGTTGGTTGGGAAGAGCTCTGGCCCTCGGCTGGCCACGGAGAAGATCCAGAGCAACCTAGGGTCCTGCCAAACCCCAGTCAACCCTCACTCGGCAGAACATAGCAAGAGTAGCTCCTTTGCCTACAAGGAAGCTTCGGGGCACCAGGGCCCGAAGGCTACCCTACCTCTCTGCTAGGCATTTATGGTCAATAATAACAATAATAATTTCTATTTCCACAGCCCTACAAGAGTGTTAAAGCTCTGACCTCACCTCAAGCCTATGAAGTGAACAGAGCAAGGATTATTGTCACCATTTTAAAGCCGTAGTGGAAGGGCGTGGTCTTTGGCGTCAGAAGACTTGGGTTCTAATCCCGGCTCTATTACCTTACCTGGGTGGCCTCCGGAAGTCACTTAGTTTTTCCTAGCCTCAGTTTCCTCCTCTGCCAAATAAAGGAATTAGACTGGATTCCCTCTTCATTCCCTCCAACTCTCCAAGTGCAATTCTGTGACTTGCCCAGGACGGCTCTGCCAGTAGATGACTGGGGCAGGATTACAGCCCGGGCCTCTCCTGACTCCCCTGACCAATTTCAGGGCAAGCTCTTGGGCCTGGGGACCAAGGACTGGCCCTCCTTCCCCAGGATCCCTGGGGTAGCATCTGGTCAGTGATTGGGAGGGGTCAGGGCTTGTTCTGGGGAGAGCCGGGGGCTTTTCCCGCCCCCAGGATCTGCCTTGCTATCTCTCCCCCTCCCCGCTACTGGGCGATCTCCGAGGTTGGAAGGCCATTTCCTCCCCCCTCCCCTGCCTTCCACATGGCCCCCACCCTCTCCTCTCCAGAGAGAATAAAGAGCCGGGCTGCCCGAGTCACCCAAGAACCGGCCGCTCACCACGTACCCCTTCTCAGATTAAAAAATTTTTTTAAAGGGCTTTGCACACACACAAGCCTGGCTGCTAAGCGACCTTTGCAAAGGACTTGGGATTTGCAATGAATTATTAAAAAGCCACCCGGGAGAAATCCGTTCCAGACACTCGTGGAGGGGGGGGAGGAGTGAGCATTATTCTAGGCGGTGCACTCACTGTTCCCTGTCCCGGCTCCTTCTGCTCATCATGTATGCGCTCACTTTATGCCTGCATCCCACCATCCCTCTATCCTTGCATCCCTGCATCCCCGCCTCAGGCCCCCCGTACCTTGCACTTGTCTGGGTGCGCGCGCCCCGGCTAAGCCGATGGTTTTCTCTCTCTCTCTCTCTCTCTCTCTCTCTCTCTCTCTCTCTCTCTCTCTCTCTCTCTCTGTCTCTCTCTCTCTGTCTCTCTGTCTCTCTGTCTCTGTCTCTCTCTCTCTCTCTCCTTTTTCTTTCTTTGTTTTTCTTTTTTTCCCTTTTTTCTTTTTTTTTCTTTTTTTTACGCAATGAATCCAAAGGTTCCCCGGGAGGGGAAGGAGATAGGCCACTACCCCTACCGGTTCTCCATTGGTGCCATCTAGGAGACTCATTTGTATATAGCCCTCCCTATTGGCTTTCTTGGAGGCGGGGCGGAACGTAGGCGAGGCCTCTGAAAGCCGCCTCTGGGGCGCCGGGCAGGCATCTAATTTGGCCCCGGGGCACTGGGAAAGGCTGGCGGTTTGGGCAGGCTGCCCAGACTGCTTGTCCAGTGGCTGCGATTTGCCCCGTGGGGTCCTCCAGCGGAAGGGGTGGGTGGGGTGAAGAGAGGGCCCCCCCAGAGGGCGGCCTGATGTTCCCTTTGATCTTCTCACCTGTCCAGGTAATTGTTCTCTTTCACCTGCCTTCCCCCGGCCCTGGCTCTCTGCCACTGCTTTTCCTGACCGAATTGGGGAAGGGGTGAAGTTTGATTCTTGGGTGTAGCTCCGTGGAAAGAGCACCCGAGCAGGTTAGGGGAGCACGGCTGAAATTCTGTCTCTGACACACCATCTGTATGGCTCTGGACAACTCCCCGTCTCTGAGCCTCGATTTCCCCTTCTGTAAAACAGAAGAAGTAGGGCCAAGTTATATCCGAAGTTCAGTGTACCACTGGCAAACAGAACATCCAAACCGAGGGTCCTGTAGAGGAAAGAGTGTGGAGATCCCAGCTCTGGTCCCTGGTGTAACAGAAAGGAAGGAGTCGGGCTGGACCATCTCCCAGGTACCTTTCAGGCCTCCCAGTTACCATTCTAGGCTTCCTCCCAGTTCAGACATTTTATGCTCTAACATTCTCTGTTCTAAGGTCTCTCCCAGATCTGACATTCTAGGATTTCCCCCTTTCTAATTCCTGCCCTTCCTTCAAAGCCTAGCTTGGTACTCACCTCCTCCAGGAAGCCTTTCCAGCCCCTGTATGCAGCTGATTCAACAATCCTGAATTAAGTCTAGGCTCAGTCCCTTAGTACCTGTGTGACCTCAGATAAAAACCTTTCCCTGTCTGGGCCTCTGTTTCCTCATCAGTAAAACAAAGGGCCTCTGCGGTCCTTGGGGCTCCAAATCTATGATCTTATGCTGGTGTGATGGTCATCTTCTGCAGGCACAGGGGTGGGAATTTGCTTTGGTGGAGGGAGGAATTGGCAAAATCAGGGATGCAGGGATGCTCTTTACCAGATAAAGCAGAGCAGGGGGAGAAAAAGTCCACTTCAGTCACAGTCCTGTAGATCTCACATTCTAGTGGGGATGGGAGCATTGGAAAAGAGACCGTGCTATGGGAGGCTGAAAGACGGGAGAGTTTTTTCACCATCTGTAAGATTAGGACAAATTTCCTGGAGGAAGAGGAGGTAAGTGCCTTCTTCTTTGCCTGGCATGGTAATAATCCTGGATACGCACACTCCTGCCTCTGGATCTTACTGAGTTGGAGGGGCCATGAGGAGGAGCCCAGCCAAGGATTGTATATGTATTGTATTAGGACCAGCCTCCACATCACACTAGCCTTTGGGGAGGGGGGAGGAGACATTTTCAGACACACCAGCTCCTAGAGACCGTGTCCTTAGAGAGAGATTCGGATCTATCTTCCTACATTTGTGGACTGAAGAATTCAAACGCTGGATAGGCAAGATGGACATAGGAGAACAGGTGAATGGTGGGTACTATACACAGGAACTATGAAGTCAGGTGAAAGAGCAGGAGTATTGAGGCTAAGTTTTGGAGGTGTCGAATTTGAGGGTGGGGCATTCAGGTGTGGCAGTCTGGAGCTCAGAATAGAGGTTAGAATATGGTGCCCTACTTGGCTATATACCTATTTGTTATAAGAGAGAGCTACAGAGTTAGTGGGCAGTGACAAATGGATGGGGGGGAGGGAGAGAGGAAGGAAAGAAGAGAAAAAGAAAGAAAAGAGGGAGGAAAAAAAGAGTAACAATAAAACATTAAAAAAGATACATAGAAGAAAAAATGTTCAGAGGAGGATCACAAATAGCAATTTTGTTACTACCTTGATAAATTTAATATATACAGTTTCAAGAGACAAACAGAATGATAACAGATGTTTTCAGGTTCTTTATGATTGTTTGTAATAAAAAAAAAAGAAAGTTTAAACTTTAAAAAGGATAGAGAGGTCTGGACTGGAGAGATTTGGAAGGCATGTGCATGAAGGTGGTAGTTGAAACCCTGGGAATGAAAATGATTGTTGAGAGGATGGAGAGGTGAGTTGAGACAGAAGAGGACTGAGGAAAGGGCTTTGGGGAGCATCCAATTTATGGAGTCAGAAAAAGGAAGTGAAAGCAGAGGAAAAGACTGAGAAATTCACTGAGAGAGGTAGAAGGTAAGCAGGCGACAATGGTGTTTCTGAAGCTAAGGCAGAGGAGGGTATCCAGGAGAGGAGGAGTGTGATCAGTAGGCTGCAGAGGGGGTGAGGAGATGGAGGATTCCAAAAAGCACTGGATATCAGTCAATAAACGTTTCTTAAGTGTCTACTATGTGCTAGGCACTGTGCTAAATAAGCATTGGTGAAACAAATAAGAAAGCCAGTCCCTGCCCTCAAGAAGTTTACAATCTAATGGAGAAAGACAACACTACAAAAGGAATCTGAAAATGTGGAGAGAAGGGAAAGTTCCCAGCATGGGTGGGGTGAGGGGTAGAGAAAGGGATGAAGAAGCCCAGAGGAGTGTAGACAAGCAGGTAAGAAGAAGGCAATTGGGAAGTGGCCATTGGGAAGTCATTAGAAACCTTGAAGAAAGAAGGTTCAGTCCAATGGTGGGCAGAAGACACATTGCAAGGAGGTGAGAAGCAATGGAGTGGTGAGGAAGCGCCTATGACTTTTTAATTTTATTTTTTAAAGGAAATCAGGCTGTCAAGGGGAGGCGGAAGGTAGAGTAGGAGGAAGAGCTTGTAGAGAAGGGCTAAGTTTGCACATGTTTGAATGTATGAAAGTAAGACTTTTTTTTTGAGGAGACATGGCTGTGTTTGCAGGCAGATGGCTATGAATCAGGGAAATGGGAGAGTTTGAAAGTAAATGAGAAATATGACTTTAGAAGACTAACAGGGAAGCACGTGTTTAGCCTCAGGTCAGAAAGGTGCCAGCTCTGGATTCAGAATGGGCATACCTCCTTTCCCTGTGCATCCTGCTTTGTTTGGCTGCTAAACTCGATTCCTTGGTTACAGGGGAGGACTCTGGGTTTTGTTTTTTGTTTTTTGAGAGGGGAGTCACTGACAAGTAACAACGATCTTTTAAAAAGAGGATTAATAGGACTAAAGAGAATGCTTGGGAGGAAGATGATGGTTGGAGCAAAGACCTGAAGAAAGAAGGATGAAAAGTGCTCCTTGGGCACAGGACTCTTCCTGAGGCTGTAGAGCAGAAGGAGAGATCAGACCGGGAAACCAATTTGGAGGAGGGAGAACTGAGGAAGCCAGACCTATGGATACAGGAAGCAAGTGTGTGGGAGCCCCTGTTGCTTAGAATTGCCTCAACTTCCAGTGTGGGCATTTGCACTTGGGGCTACAGGTGCAAAGCTGGCCTTGCTTTATTGTTTTGTTAATTGTCTAGACTTAAGAAAGAGCTGGAGAAAATGATAATTATGTAGATTGAGCTTAAAATGTTGTTTGGGTGCAACTTTCTCTTTCTTTCTTAAAGAACCCATTGTTAAATACCAGCACACCCAGAAACCAGACCCTGTATTTAGTTGATTTTGCTTCCCCCCTCCCCACTATTTGCTATTTTTTTCCAACTAGGGAGGGTTCTATTCAGGAGGGTGAGTGACAGGGATTTTTTTTTTTTAAGCAACAGAGCTTGGGACACTAATGCACTGTTGGTGGAGTTGTGAACTGATCCAACCATTCTGGAAAGCAATTTGGGACTATGCCCAAAGGGCTATAAAACCGTGTGTACCCTTTGACGTAGCAATATCCCTACTAGGTCTGTATCCTAAAAAGAGCCCCCTCCCCCCCAAAATGGACCTCTATGTAAATAATATTTACAGTAGCTCTTTTTGTGGTGGCCAAGAATTGGAAATCGAGGGAATGCCTATCAATTGGGGAATGACTGAACCAGTTGTGGTATATGCTTGTAATGGAATACTATTATGCTATAAGAAATGATGAGCAAGATGGTTTCAGAAAAACCTGGGAAGACTTATATGAACTGATGCAAAGTGAAGTGAGCAGAATCAGGAGAATATTGTAACAGTAACAACAATATTGCACAATGATCAGCTGTGAATGACAGAGCTATTCTCAGCAATACAATGATCCAAGGCAATTCCAAAGGGTTTATAATGAAAAAATGCTGTTATCCACCTCCAGGGAAAGTCTGAATGCAGATCAAAGCATACTTCTTTTTACTTTCTTTTCTTTTTTTATATGTTGTCTTTCCCATGAGATTGTAAGCTCTTTAAGGACAGGGGCCTTGTTTTTGCCTTTCTTTGTATCCCCATCACTTAGGTACCTGCCTGACACAGAGTAAGCACTACATTAATGTTTGATAATGGATTTTAAACATTTTTTTTAAATTTTTAAAAATATTGAACACAAAAAATTAAAATAAAATGAACATTAAAAAATAAGACTTGCGATTTCATTGGTACCTGAATCTCCGGGTAAAGAAAATTCCTCAGCCAATGAAGACCTGAACCCACAAACCTTGTCTTAGAGACTCATCAGGGGCTTAGAGAGGTAAATGACTTGCTCTGGGTCACACAGTCTTGAATGAGGCAGAGACAGGACTCTGAGGTGGACTCTCCTTCTGCCTCTCTAGGGCAGTAAATACACACATTGTGGGGGGACCCCTTTCTTATACTGAAAAGGGTATGAAAAGCAGCCTTTCAAAGGAAAATACAAGGGGCTGCTAGATG